TGGCGGCGCCCTGTCAGCACCGGGCCCGGCCCCTCGGTCCCCCCCGCCCGGCTCTGGGGGGCCCGGAAAAGTTCCCAGGAGCAGCTCGTGGCTGCTCGGGGAGGGATGTAGGAGGCCCGCGGGCCGGGGGCATGTGGGCATGGCAGGGGTAGCCGCGCCGGGGCTGTGGAGCGGTGCCCGGGGGGCCGCCGCGCACCCTCCTCGCGGGGGGCGCGGGGTCTGACCCTCCTCCGCCTCTCGTCACGCTGCCGCCGCCGCCGCAGGATGGAGTGCTAGTCGCCCGCCACGGCAGGAACCTCGGGGGGAAAGGGGGGGATCCCGCCCCGCCCGTCCCCGTCCCGTCCGCCGGTCGGCTCCATGAAGACGTGAAGCCCCTTGAGCTTGATGCGCTTTGAGGCGGGCCGCCTAGGATGACGCCTGACTCGTGCTAAAGAGTAGCAAACTTCGTGGGGGTTTCGGTCCTTTTTTTTTTTCTTTTTTTCCGGCCTGGCCCAATGACCGCTTGACCCAGTCGCTAATCCAGCCTGAGGGCGGGTTTTTTTTTGGTTTTTTTTTGGGTGGTTGTTTTTGTTTTTGTGTTTTTTTTGAATGTCGCTCTGTGGCACGACGGCCAACGCAAAAATGATGGCGGCTTACAATGGCGGTACGTCTGCGGCAGCAGCGGGTCACCACCACCACCATCATCACCACCTTCCTCACCTCCCTCCTCCTCACCTCCATCACCACCACCACCCTCAGCATCACTTGCATCCCGGCTCCGCTGCTGCGGTACATCCCGTACAGCAGCATGCCTCTTCGGCGGCTGCGGCAGCGGCGGCTGCGGCGGCGGCTGCGGCAATGTTAAATCCAGGGCAACAGCAGCCATATTTCCCATCACCGGCACCGGGTCAGGCCCCTGGACCGGCTGCAGCGGCCCCAGCTCAGGTACAAGCTGCAGCAGCTGCTGCAGTTAAAGCGCACCATCATCAGCACTCACAACATCCACAGCAGCAACTGGATATCGAACCGGACCGACCTATCGGATATGGAGCCTTTGGTGTCGTCTGGTGAGTATGGAGAATCAGCTGAACTCGTTTTTTCCTGTCATTGTTTAACGAGTCGTCATTCATGCTTATTTTTGTCATTCGGGCCAGAAGACCAGAAAGCTGCTTACTTGCAGATTGCTTTTGATGATTCATATCTATTGTGGAAAGTTGGCTTCACTTGCGTGAGTGGACAGAGCAGGGTTTATTATGAAGCGGCAACCTCTCACGGATAGGCCGCACTGTAAACCAAGTTGAGTTTTGGATGATACCATTATTTTGAAGCAGATGCAACTTGTTTATATGCCTAGTATAAATATTGTACAGCAAGAAGGGAATGGCATTTGGTTTACTTATAGATGAGCTGTGCACGCACTTAGGATAACACTTAGTAGAGCGCACATTTAGACATAGGAAGTACATAGAAAACATATGAAAATTGGTGTCTTAATGTTAGTCAGCTGTCAACATCTTGGTCTTGGAGACTGCATTTGCCCTGCAGTAGCATATTACTTACCACCCAGTTTCACTGTCTTCCTGTATTTCTGCATGCTCTTTCTTCTTTCCCAACCCCTAGCCACTTAGGTCTGGGGCTCTTATCTGTCACACCTATCCTCTTCTTAAAGTAATTTGTGACCAACCTGAAAGAGGTTTTTTAGTTACTACTTCCCAGGATCATGAAGGAAACAGTCCCCTCCCCCCATCCCTTTTTTTACAATACTTTGTTTTTGAGAACAGGAAATTTACCATAAGGCTTATGGTGCATTAGAAACACAAAGTATGTATGGGTTTTGTTTTTTGGAACCAGGCATATTGCAGCACACTTCCTGTTCACAAATATGAAGTCAGAATCATGAAACTAGTTTTACCCCACAAAACTTTTAGCTGTATTTATTCAAGATAGGTTTTAGTGGTATTTAAAAAATGTTGTCTTTGCTCCATCCCATAATTTCATTTTGCTGAAATAGACGTAGTCTGCTTTTTAAAGCTGTGATTCTCCTGGTAGATCATGCTGCAACTCTGAAGGGTTTTACAGCAGAAGCCTTTGAAGAGCAAGATTGTGCTTTCCTTAAGACTGATAACTGATAAAATATCAGACAAATGTGTCTGTTGCAAAATATAGTTTTAATATAAAATACAAAATGTGTGGCTCAAAGTATGTCAGGCTTAAGGGAGTAGGTTAATGTTTTAGTTGAATTGCATCTTATTTTTACAGTCTCGTACCATAAATTAATTGAACGCTAATTGCTCAATGCCAGAAAAATGATTTACGTTTTGCGAAGGGTCTGCATTGCTGTACCTGGGTTAAAGTGCTCTTGCAACTATACAGCATAACCTAATTTTAAGCATGAGATGATAAAAACTAGAGAGCAGTCCTTCATACAGATATATATAAAATATTTCTCTTTCCTTTTATTTTATCTTTGGCTATTGTGTGTGTTTTTCTTGCCTAGAGTTATTGCAGTCTCTGTTAATTTAGGCTGGTCGGTAAAATCGGATCCCATTATCTTTATCATCTGGTGCAAACATCTTGTTAAATACACATTTCCCTTGGTCTCTGTTTTCCCTTCTCTGTTTGAAAACAAAATTACACAAGAAGATCTGCTTGCATTATTTTTAATTATGTAAATATTTTATTTTGACACAAGAAGATAGAGAGTCTAAATAGTAAAGTATATCAGCATTAACAAATGCTCAAAAGAAAGGGAAAATAAATCCTCTTATAGAAATAGGGATAATATATAACTATACAGATGACAGACTGCAGGTAGAATGAGGGCCAAATCTTTCATTGATATTAAATGGGACTCTGATTCTGCAGTTGGATCCAGGCAGATGGAGGGGGTCCCTCCTACCTACAATTGTAGGATTGGGGCTATGGCATTCATTTTAAAGAAAATCTGAAGTTTTCAATTCAGTAATGGTTAAGATCACCATGGGAGCACAGAGATCAAGGCTGACCCTGGTATAGCAATTTCTATATTCCTGTAGACTGGAAAAATACATACGTATTTGCAAAACCTCATACCAGGTCCTTAGTTTGTTCAGTGGCTTCTGTTAGGCTTGTGGCATTGGATGGTGTTAACTCTTACAAGTGAAATGCATCCTGGCTTTAAGAGTGATTATTTTTGGGCCTAAGTTTGTTTTACATAGGAGAAAATCTGTTTGGTGCAAATGGAACCCAATGTCTCTAAATCCAAAATTACTTGAGGTTCTAGCTGTATAATGAATCTCTTCTCTTACAAACTGCCTATCCATATCTCATCCTGAACACATTGTAGCCTTAATTAATGGTTCAAAAAGGTAATGCATGTAATTTTGAAGGAAATTGGTCTTATTTCTGCATATAGATGAACCATTTGGAGAAGTAATGCTTCTCCTTTACATTCAAATGTATTGCAGAATAGTTGGTCTGCTAGGATTTGATTTATCCTTCTCCTTAGTTTAGCTGGTGAAATAAGTTATCAATAATGGACAGTTTTGTAAAGGTATTGAATTTCCTATTAGCCTGCTGGTAAAGATTTCCACATTTCTCTGCAAACAAAATCACTTGGATGCTGACTGGCCTGCCTTTATCCA